AAATCTTATTATTTCTGATTAAGTTGGCAGCAAGTGGCACTAGAAATACAATTTGACCATATCTGCATGTCAGTCTAAGCAAGGCCGGCCTGGTTAGTAAAGATGGGAAACTGCTGGGACTACCAGCTGCCACGGTGGGGCAGCAGTGGCTCTGGTGGAAACTGTTGTTGTGTCCTTAGGCAAGACCCTTCACCCACCTTGCCTAGTGTGAATGTGATGTGTGAATGAGTGATTGGTGCTGGTTGAAGGCACAGATGGAGCAGACTGGCTGCCTCGTTTCCACCAGTCTATTTTTATTTTATTTATTTATTTGACAGGTACAGTACATTAATCAACATTACTGTAAATGTATCAGAATTAGCCAAAAGGTTATTTTTCATCCATTGTCCTTGAACAGATGTTAAAATTGCTGACCTAAAAACAACATGGTTAGTCAATATAATAACAGTATAGTGCAAGCAGGACAATGCATTAAAGCCTAGTTAAGTACTTGTGTACAGTAGCCACAGCCGCACAGTCCGCCCCTGACTGTGCGGCTGTGGCTACAATACTAGCTCACTACCACTGAGTATGGAGTGAATGAATAATACACTGTAAAGTACTTTGAACATTTTTTATATAAATCCAGTTAGTAAAAGTTGCCACAGCACATTTCACTCACACAGGTAAGTTGGATGAAGTGTCTTTGCCCAAGGATACAGGAAGAGGTATTATAAATATTAGCAAAATAATACCACTAAAATCCAAAATTCGAATCTCTAAACCTATTTTGTTTTGTGTCTCTCTGAGTTAACTCTGCTCTTCCCTGTTACTGCTTTGCACTGGCCCTTTATGTGCCATTATATCTGAGACATGCACGTAGCAGACACAAGCTTTTTAGAATTCTACCACTTGTTTGTCTCCTTTCCCCAATGAATCACGTCGGCTGCATGTGAGCCATCAGAAATTGAGTTCTCAATCGATCCACTCTGGGTTTTTTCTTCTTCTTCTACTCTGGGGCCTAACATGCAGGAGATGACAGATAGCAAATTGAATTTATGAACAGGCCCTGTTGACACTGCTGCATAATTGTAGAAATGCCATGCTTTGGTGGTGGTGTATGAAGGCCAGTGTTCCTTTCAGATACATGCGAGGCCGAAGTCTTTGTCATGTTTTGACTAGTAGAACTGATAAATACTAATTAGTGCAAATAAAGGGATACAATTATTTATTTATGTTTTTGTAATTTTCATAATTTATAAATTGCAAGGATTTGTTTTGTATCCTCACGATGCATTGATATGTCAGCCTGCGTACAGTTTAAAGGTTATCAATGTTTTCAAAAGGCTGCAGACTATTGAAAGCTATATCTTTGTTCTCTCATGAACCTATGTTCATGTGCATATTATATTAATGCAAATACCAACTAGTTCAAATAGAACATTCCCTTTAGTTTTGAATGAGGTAGTAGAGGTTGTAATTGCGTAGAGGTATTTTTGAGGCTGTTATTGTTGTTTTATACTTTGCAAAAGTGGAGCCAGCAGTTATGGCAATAGAACAAACTGTAACTGTACCAAAAATCATGTTTTAGTATGTTTTATGACTATCATTGTCTATTACTGGAATATTATTTGTAGGTAGCAGATAGCAGAAATATGAGACACTATAGTATTGGTGTCTGATGTAGTAAAAGGAAGAAAATAAAGATATTATCATACGTCTTGTTCTAATCAAAATGCATTTCTATTGCCTGAAGGACTGACTCTGAAGTATAGTATTACTTATTAACAGTAAATGCAGGATTATTTTATTTCACAAATACTCTCCCACCATACTCCTTAAAATTCTGTGAGCACATACATATATTTGCCGAAAGTTGCTACTTTTGTATAATATTCTTCTGATACAGCTGCATGTTTTTTTCATAGGTTTGCATGGTCCAGTGTAACTTTTAGATGTAATTAAATGTCACTGGACTCACATCGTCAAGTATTCGGTCAGGAAGGTGTTTCTTGCCTCGCTTGGCTGCCTGGGCCCCTCTCTCTAAGCCACTCCACTTCGCACTAGAAAAAAAAAATCCTCTTCATTTCTCTCCCTGGCCGCTTCCCTGTTCTCCATCTTCTGCTTTGCATCCTTCCTCCTTAACCATATATCTTCCCTGTGCACTAGTGACACTCATATCTGCACTTATTCCCTCTCTCTATTTCCTTCTTGTGACTGTTAACACCTGACTTTAGTGCTCAGCTCCCGGGGGTTGCTGTGTGGCAGTGTAGGGACTGCTTTCGACTTTTGCTGTACTCCTAAAAGCTAATATGAAGTGTGAAGTTTTATGCCAATCCTACTGAGACTATATCTTGCTCTTGTTATCCCCTAATTAGAAAATCTGATAGCTCAGACTGTAAATATATAGCAGACTGGGTTGATCCCTATGGCTTACATTCACTCTGGCTGACACCTAATATTAAGTGCAGGTGGAAGGATCGGAGATTGGAAGTTGGAGGGGATCAAAGCAGAAAGATAGTGAATAGGTACAGAAGTTCACACTGGGTGGTTGCGTGTCACAGAAGTGCATTTCAACTCCGATAGGTTTTAGCTTTTTAAGAAAGTAGTAAAAAGTGCAAAAGCCAGTGCCGTGTTCCACACTTTCACAAGCTTTAATAAGATCATTAAAGCACCTGGGGGCTGTCGGTGGAGGTGCCCACCAAGGTGTTTCATCACCGGAAGGGTTTGTCAATGTCTTGGGTCTTAGCCCATCTTAACCCATTTAAGAAAGCAATTTCCTGCTAGCAGAGGGGTTCTTTCCTCTTGAGAAAGATCTTTGGGCATAAAAGGTTAGCTTTTCTGTAATTCCCCAGCACGCAATCTAGCAGCGCCGCTAATGAGAAGTACTTGAATATTTGCCCTAGGTTTTAACAGCTCAAAATAAGACAGTGAGTGAATCGCAGGAGTGAGGAAGAAAATGTTGGTTAAAGTGGGCAGTGGTAGTTTGAGTGGAGTTTGCTCAAAGGATTATTGGATAAGTGTGCTCATATATTATTGCAAATGTTAAATACAGTACATCACGAGTTGAGGCGAACTTTCTAAACTGGGGTCCAACAGGACACAGTTAATTGAACTCTCGTGGATAACAAGAGAGCATGTTTCCCATTTTAGTCCAGTTTGGCTTTTTTCTGTCTGCCTCCTTTCCCCTAAACCCCGGTCTTCAAGGGCTCCCAAGTTCTGGTCATTAGACATGATGAATTGTGCTACAGTTAAGCGAGAAGTAGGACAAATTGATCAAAGTGTCAGGTGCCCCTTGTGATGTCTAGGTCTCCACGAAGAAGGCGGTGAGGAAGGAGCTGTCAAAAAGTTTCTGGTGCCAAGGTGGTTGCAGATAAATGTTTACCTGCCACTTAACACTTCCTACCTTCTGTCACGTCCTTGCCACAGCCTAAATTACAACTACCGCCACTATCTGAGACTTCACTGTGTTGCCTCTTGTCCACAAAACCTCTGCCCCCTGAGCCCCCCTCCTCCAACCCCACCACCCATACAGACCAGTGTGTTTGCTATCTTAGGTGTAGTGCTGCAATTTGAGATAAGCACTACTTGCCTTGGCTTTTGGTTTTGTTCTGATAAAGCTGGTCTAATTAAGCTTGATTTAATCGGGATTGCTTTTAAGAACAGCACACAGCCGGAATAGATACTTTGATTTCGGAGTAGCCCTTGGGAAGGACTTGAGGAAGAAAGCGGAAGAATGAGATAGAGCCCGGAATTAGTCTGAGTATGAGTGAAGTGACGTGTTTTTAATTTGCAAGAGACATATTTCTATTCTTAGTTGCACCGCTGTCTTTTTGGAATGATAGAAGGTTGGGTACTTCACTTAAATAGCATGGCAAACTGAAATTCCTAAAATGTTCAAAAACGCACTTCTGGATATTCGATGTAAAATTGAACGAAAAATAGTTGGTGAGTGTGCCATCTGGACTGGGACGTGACCACTCCAGGGACTTCCACTGTTTTGCATCTGCATTGAGGTCCTGCTCCTACTCCCATTTTCATAACTTAAAATTCATAAAATGGAAGTTATTGTCAAGATTGTTTTTTTCGCGGCTGTCAGGAGTAGAGGCAGTTGTCTCCGCTATATTTTAAATGCGCTCTTTCAGCTGTGGCCGTGAACTTAGACAACTTGTGACAACAAACCCGGACCACCACGATAAACACTGAGGAGGAAGAAAGCTAGTTCATTCATGTATGCAAAAGAATTGATAGCCAAGTCCACAGCTCTACAATAAGTCACTATAATGATCCTAGTTTAAAATAATGTCTGTTCTGGTCCTGGATGATAGAACGTGTGCCCCTCTGACTCATTAGCATCGGGGCGTGAAGACGAATGACCCAGATAGCGAACCTTAGCTTATTTTTGAATTCCTTTTCATTTTTGGCACTAGATGTTCTTGGTTAGACTGTCACACCATGCCCTCCTTTTTGAAAGCGTCAGCTACCTGTCTGTGTTCAGCTATGCCTGTATTTTCTCGCTCCACAGTCTACGGCGACAGCTAAACATTGGTCAGGAGGAATGTTTTTCCAAGGCCAGCCCTGGTGTCATTGACTGAACAATGATAGAGCGCCTCCATATTGAGCGGCTCCACACTAAATCTTTGTAAAGAGCACTTAGCTCCCCTGCGTTAGCCACAGAAAGAATATCTGTCAATGATCATCAGTGCATGCTTTTATCCTCAGACTCCTCTCCCTGTATTAGTTGCCAAAGTGTGTTTTCTCTGCTCGCTGTAGAAAAAGGCGTATGTGTAAGTGACAGTCTTCCATCTCAACCATGTCTATAGAAAGCTTGTTTATACACTTCAATGCCGGGGCTTTCTCTGTGATGCCATAATGTCCGTTGATTATTTACACGTTTTTACTCAGAGAACTATAGATTGCTCTCTACTGAGGACCTCATTGGAGATGTCTTGTGTGAGTACAGGGTATAAGGCTGTGTATTATTAGCTACTTAATGTACATATCTTTATCTTTTCTTACAGAGGGAGATGAGACTGGGGTGATGGACAGTTTAATGGAAGCTCTACAGTCCGGAGCAGCTTTCAGAGACCGGAGAAAACGGACACCTCGTAACGGTAAGGCCACCAGGGCACTGGGATGAATGTAATAATTGTCAAGTGTGTGCCGTGGAAAGCAGTTCAATAGTGCTACTGTTTGTTTGCTATTACAGTGCAGTTATGCAACAATACACACAACATACATCTAGAATAAGGTTGTTTTAGCGCAGTGTCAGTCTATATTGTTGTGTATAGTGAAACAAATGCATAACATTTCCTCAAGTTATCAGATCAGCTTTTTCTGCAAGCTTACACCATTTCAATTCACTTTTAGAAAAGGCAACATTTTAAAGATAGAAATTTGAAATTGAGGATTCAGTGAACAAAATTACATAAAATATAATTTTTGTTCACATTAATTTAAAATGTTGCCATTTTAATCTGCATTTTTCACACTTCTCCAACACTTCAACATAACTTACATAAAGTCATTATTTCATATCTCTTATCATTTTGTGGTCAAACTTTGGGAGAGGGCTATTCCTTTTACTGATCTGAAATGTCTCTCCTCTGCTGGGTTACTCACTGTATCCACTTTTGTTTCTCCATCCTTCCCTTCTTCTTCCTCCTTCACTTCCTCATGACCTACCACTGTTGCAGGTGATCAAAGTCCTTCCAGTCCAAGCTCTCGGTGGCCGGGTGCTAACTATGGTAACCGAACTCTAGGTGTGTGCATTTTACACTTTCACTTACCCCATCAGCACTCAACTGTGTAGTCCCTCTGGCACGTGTCTTGTTTGATTCCACTAACTATGCTGCTCTACGGTATTTCCAATTATTCTGAATTGTCTTATATGTAAGATTTACCAGCTAAAATCATCAAATGCAGCATCTTTTGTTATTATAACTACACTGAACTTAATATCAAACATGACTATAGATATGATATATATTGGGCTGATATTTGCACTTTTTAGCATATCGGCTATCAGCCTTAAATCTCCAGCAGTGGCCGATATTTTATTAGGCCCAACCAGCTTCCTAAATATGCAGGAATAATATATGTCTACAGCTTAATTTGAATACTTTAGTCCAAAGATGGTACATCGAAACAGCTCTCTTATCCAGTAGTAAAACAAGTTTGTGGATGAGTTTATACTAATTTCAAATCAGATGATTTACTGATCATTCTAAAAATTGACCCGTATCGCTGGATCGTATTGGCCATCGGTGTCTCTGGATTCTAAGCAATCAACATTGACATCGGCCACGGAAAAAAAAAAAAAAAAAAAAAAAAACATCAGTTGATCTCTAAACATGACCTCAAACTATTAAACCAATTACACACAAGCTATTAAATGTCACATACTGTTTGGTAAATATATTTGTGAATTCTGACATTACTGAACAATATTCAGGGCCCAATATATACACTTTCTGTTGGAAGAAAACTACTAATGCCTTTGTGAAGGTCTACTTACTACATTACATTTGGTCAGTGAAACGTTTTTAGACATATGACATTTTATACAGTTTAATAATGTGGTCATAAACTATAGAAATTACAGCTGTGGGTGTTCAACATAAAATTGAATAGTGTTTTTGATATTAATACTCATCTCCAAATGGCTCGAAGTAAATCTTACATGAAAGACCTCCAAAATGTTATACTGCCAAGACCAGGGTTATGGAAATTACCCAAAGATATTGTTATGCACACTAATATATCAAAACCATTTATGATATCTCGTAATTCCTGTCTGGTAGAGCAGCTACAGTTAACATTTAATGGTCCGACTCTTTTTCGTAGCTTTGGCTCTCAGCATGATACTACCTGCTGTGTAGTGCTTATGTTCTGGGCCTGTTTATATCTGGATATGCCTCTAACCATCCATACTGTCTGTTAATAACCTTTATTTTACCCTCTGTCTGGTCAGTGATGTCAAGCAGCAGGCTGTTCTCACACATCTTCTTTCTTAACACATTTTGGAGTCTTGCTATGCAGGGCCAAACACGGTCAAAAATCAATTGTCTGTGACTCTCAAAACATTGCTTCTTTGAGTGTTGCATCAGTGTCTGTTGCCATGTCTATCTTAGTTGCATGGCTTGAAGTGGCTGACAGTTTGTATAGCGGGATGTTAAATGTTGGTATTTTTATTGTTGGATTGTATGTGACAAGTGGCGATGAAAGGTGAGTTATTTTGTTGCTATTCTTGACAGTCCCCCAGGAGTTTTAAAAGAAAAGTTCAACTTGTGAAAAAAGTTTCCTAATTCGAAATGCTTTTGCTATGCCTAGTAGCAAAAGCACATTTGCTGGTTGATATCGTTGTGATGGTAATTTTGGGGAGATGTATTAATGATGATGTTTTCACATGGTTGTTCATATTAATTTTAATTACACTAAGAATGCATCAGCTTTAAAGGATGTTTTCTAATATTCAGGAAAAAAAATATCAGTAATAAATAGGGAATCTGACAGGACTCCATTATTACCATTTTGTGGCCATACTTTGTGGATGGAGACCTCTGGGAAAACCAGGGGCCACAGTGGAGTACAAGTGACAAAAAAGCTGTTGTTGTGTCCTTAGGCAAGACATTTCTCCCACATTGCTTAGTAAGAAAGTATAGTGTGTGCGAGTGGTGGTCGAATGGGCCAATGGTGCAGATTGGCAATCTCGCGTCCATCAGTCTGCCCCAGGGCAGCTGTGGCTACTATAGTAGCTTACCACTACCAAGTGTGGAGAGAATGAACAACAACAGACAATGAACACTTTGGGTGTCTTGAAAGGTGCTATATAAATGTAATGACTAATTAATTCATTAATTATTTAATCATATTTAGTTTAAGAGTTACACTCTCTGTTACATATTTAAGCTGTCTCAAATGTAAAAAAAAATGTGTGTGTGTGTGTGTACGTGTGTGCGTGCGTGTGCGTACGTGTGCAGGTCAATCATTTGTAGAATGGCATTCAGTAGCTTAAGGTCTGTACAAGGCTATAACTACCTCTAGTAGGCACTGATAGTACTAGTAGTAATAATCATATACGCTATAGGTCGTTGGTGGATCAGGGGAAATACTTCTCCAATCTGAATAGCTGAATTGAGTGGAACATTATGCCTGTGAGTACCACAACCTTGAATCCATTGCAGAGACTAGAAAAGTACTGGTAAGATATGGTTGGCCACTTGTGCACTATACTGTGTAATGCACCAAGAGACCCATGCAAGGCAAACACTATCACTTCTCAATACGCCTTACATTGACTCAAATGTACTTGTGTAACCAATATCCCTATCACAGAAGGTAAGCAGTGGTTATATACAATGAGCTGTGCACTTCTCGTGGCCTCCCTGAATGCGTTATGCCCCAATGACTTCCTGTTTATTGATATGGAGCTTGGTGCTTGCGGATTTGCGCGGGCTGCAAAGATTTCCTACTCGGAGGTGAGATGCGAGGGGAAAATCCTTTTGACATGCAGACTCCATGGATTCTTCCTAAATGGAATGTGGAAATGAGTTCAGCTGCTACTGTAGAGCAGAGGGGGAGTTTTGTCTCAGCGCATGAAAGGGGACAAACAGAAATCCTAATGTAGTCTTTAAGCTGGTTTGTTGTGTGTTGAAACAATTAAGTTCCCCAGACAATTTGGTGACAAAAGTCCTTACTTAAAACATTGTTTTGTAGCCATTTCTGTATGCAGGGAATTGATGTTTATTTAGCTTTTGTTATGTACATATTTGCTTTTGTGGTGCAACTAGGGATGGGTAGGATGGTTCTTGTAACAGAATTTTTGCACTTTAAAGGGCCCATATTACGCTGTTTTCTGGTCTATGTTATAATTCCTCATCACAGACATACCTGGAATTCTGTTTTGCTTCATTCACACTTCAAACACACAAATCCTGCCTATTTAGACTGCATTCTTCTCTCAAACAGAAAACACTCTGCTAGAACTTGTGATTTTATGTGGTAATACAGGAAGTGCTTCAATGTGTTTTTCACCTCCTCTAGAATTATTTAGACAATTTCTGCTCTGGAATTGCCATTCTCTACTAAACTAAATGTAAAAGGTAGCTGTTAACTTCTTCATGAAATCACAAAAAGGAATAGAGCACTCCGATCAAACACAGCACCAAATATATTCCATTCCTGCTTGTCATGTCGGTTGTAATCTCACGCGTTAAAACTATATTAACCTCCCGTCATCTCCAAACAAGCACAGAGAGCCTTCTGCAAATTTTCGTGTTACGTCAGAAAAACGACTTAGTTAAAATCAGCGTGCCAATCTTTTGTTATTCATGGTGTGTAACTAGCCTCTTGTAGACTACCTCCAAGTGTCAAGATGAGCACGATTGGAGGCGCCGCCAGTCACAATTACACCCAATTCCACAAACATTTTTCATTTCCTTGTCTCCACTTTGATGGAAATGCTAACCCAAGAGGCCCTGCTCATGTGTTATGCAATTACATGAGCCAGTTCTTATTCAAAACATGAAGTGTACACAGATTGATAGAGGGCAAATGCTTAAGATTCATTACATGTGGTAACATTTGAGTAAGTTAGTGCGTTTACATGCTAGCAGAAAAACATGGTGCTAGAACTGTAACTCTCTTGTTTAATTAATTCAGGTTTATGATGATCTTTTACTAGGGATGTAATGATATCCAAATCTCTCGGTACGATATTATCACGATATGCATCTCACGGTACGATATTTATTGTGATATTTTGAAGAGGCTAATATAATTGTAGACAGGACATGTTTCTGCTTTTAATGTACCTTAACAAGATTTTGGTGTGAATTATTGTCATCATAATCCCATGAATTCAAGTAAAAAACATATTTCTTTGTGTTGTTTGCACTGAAAGGAATCATGGGATATGCAGTTCCCTATGTTCCCTAATATAAACTGTTGCTACTGTAAAACAATGCATTTAAGTAAAGAAACTTGTAATTCGATATATTGTGTCCATGATATTATTGTGAGACTTTTGATGATACGATATCATGATATTTTGGTTATTGTTATGGTTAGGTTTACAAAATATTGCTATCCCAGTGGATTAAAATGGATTAAAATAAAGCTTGTAGACAAAAAACAAACAAAAATAAATAAATTCTTGGTGCAATCATGGTAAATTACAGAATATCATGTTTGAATATATCAAATATTACAGTATTGTCATTCGCTACATCATGGTAATAGAAGTATTGCTTGATATACTGAATCATGAGGAGCCCTATGATTCCCAGCCCTGCCTTTTCATGTAACACATAAATGCTATGAGCATAGTGCTAGTATGCCCTGCACCTTTTGTTGTGATTTCGAATCCATCTCCTCGTACCCCTACCCTACGTGCTATTTGACTGGAGTGAAAGTTCAAAAAACAAGTTCAATTTCTAGCCTGTGTTGTGTTTTTGTGTTTTTGGTGAGACAGTTACCTGGGCATCTGGCAGAGATCGGTGGGTAGAGTGCCGTGGCCCCTCGTACATCCTGCCTGATCGATTTTTGGTCAGGGATGAAAGCCACAGACTCAGTAGGTCTCTCGTACTGGGGGGCATCCCAAAAGACACATCAATCACATTTCAAAGCCAGTCGTATTTATTTACAGCCCTTTTCAACACCAATACAATCCCAAACCATGCTCCCTCCGCTGCCCTGTATTCTGCTTCCGATTTCACCTTCACGATTCGCTCCATCAAAAGTTCCCTCTCTCCTTCTCCTC